TCATCGCCAAACCCCATTTTACCACCAGCCCCATCACCAACCCCTCAACCTTTCAGCTCCCGCTGCCCGACCCCCACCAAACGCATCCCTCGCGTTCTCAATCACCCTGACCGTCGCGAACCGGCAACCGCCAGAGCACTATCAAACTCGGCCAGACCGAGCTCGCCCATGACCGCCAGCGCAGCCAGCCCAAAACACCCGTAGTACACGTCGGGCAGCCCACCAGGGTGCTTGCTAAAGCCGCCGATGCGGTGGGCCATCTTGTCGAGCAGGAAGCGGCGCGACCCGCGCCAATCGACGAGGTCGGCGTGGCCCAGGTTGGCGAGCGCTGCCCCGACCCACCACGTGTAGCACGTGTCGGCTACCTTGTTGCAGCGGCCGTTGCACGCGACGTGGGTGGTGGTTGGCGGAGCGAGGGAGAGGTCGGCGAGGCGGGACAGGGAGGCGGAAGTTGTCTTCGTCTTCGGAGTCGTCGAAGTTGTCGTCGTCGGGGTTGGGGGGTGGGGCTTCGAGGTATACGAACTGGCGTGAGGCGAGCCAGTGGAGGAGGGCGGGCATGTTGCGGATGCCTGAGTGCAGGATTTTGTTGGGGTGGAGGGCGGTGCTGTTTGTGAGGGGCCGGTCGAGCAGGGAGAGGGCGGCGATGGCGCAGTAGGCGTAGCCAGCTGGCGGTGTTAGTAAAATAAACAAGCTTGCGGAGTGTGTGCCGGGGGAGCATACCATGGGGCTCTTCCTTGGAGCTGCCCGCAAAGCCGCCGTCGTAAGTCTACCAAACACATGCCATGTCAGCGTCACACCCTCACTCACCAACCCACACCATCAACAACACCACACCACCCCAACAACAAACATACCTGACTCCCCAAAATATACCTCTCCAACGCCCCCACATCCAAATCCCCCACCCCCGCCTCATCCTCCCCACCACCCCCAACATCCCCCCTCAACATCCACCGCACCGCCACCGCAATATAACAATACAGCATATCATATCCCCCCCCAACAAACCACTCCTCCTCCCCCGGCATCCAGCTCACCGCCTCCCCAAAACTCCCGTCCGCCCGCTGCAGCCGCCGCAGCCACCGCAGCGTCTGCACCCGGTCCACCCCCTCAAACGCCCGCTCCTCTTCGCCCTCGTCTGCTAAGAGGGCGAGGAGTTGGAGGGCGAAGAGGGTGGCGGGGAGGTTGGCGAGGCCGGTTGTGGCGGAGGGGTTGGCGGGGTCGGGGTTGGTGTGGTTGCTGTTGTTTGTGGTGGTTGTGGTTGGGGGGGAGAGGAGGGTGGAGGAGGGGGCGAATCCGCCGCCGGGTTGTTGGTGGGAGAGGACCCATTGGCGAAGACGGCGGTGGTCGGAGGGTGGGATGAGAGGAGGTTTTGGCGGGGTGGTGGATGTTGGGGAGGGCGTGGGAGTGAGGATGCGGATGGAGTTGACGATGAAATAGGCGAGGGTCATGCGCACGCCTTCGTTGGAGAGGTAGTGGTTGGGTAGGGGCGCCTGCAGGCACATCTTCCAGTATTTGAGGTGCCGGTCAATGTCCAGCGTGGGCTCGGTGGCGGTGTCGCCGTTGGCGTGGTCTGGGGTGTCGCCCATTTTTGTTGGATGGACAGGTTGTGGATGGTTACTGTTATGTTTACGATGCTTATGATGGTAGCTGTGGCGGGGATATGAATGCTCTTGATTATGGTGGCTGCTGGTAGTTGGGATTAAGTTCTGACTTATTTCAGTACCAAATAACTATTTTTCTCTGGTTGGCCTCTTACCAGTATTGGATTTAAGTTTATCTCATTGTTGCAGGTAAGTGAGATTTTAATCTCATGCAGTCCAGAAACTCAGATGCTCCCCAGGTTTCACTCAGGCTCTCAGCCCATCGAAGCTCTGCCCCGCCATGCAACCCCGGTTTCGATATTGCAGGGGCAGCTCCAGCCACAGCCTGGGCGTCAGACCAAGCATTGATCGTGGCTGGTGGAACCACCAGTTAAAATGCAGGGCACCCAATCAGACGACCCTGCCTATCGACAAAGCCGATAAGTGGTGTGAACCCCGAAGAAGTCCGTCCCTGCTTGCGCGTGCTGTGCTTTACAGGAATCTAAAACATTGTCGCCGAGTCCATCCTCCCCCGGGTCACAAAGACTCGATGTGGCATGTGAGCCCCATGACAGCATACACGAGCTGAAGCCGCGACTTCCGAGTGCAGTTTCTTTCTTAACAACCACGCCGTACCCCGACCGCCATCCGATCGCCCGCCGCTCCGCTGCTGCACCACTTCAGCTCCGAATCCCAGGCCCGCAAGACCTCTCCCTCCGCAGTTCAAACGCACCTGATGACAACTGCTTGACCTCGACGTCACAACACCACGCGAACAAGAACCCAACAACCGCAACCATGGCGCTCATATCCGCGAAAACCATCCTCACCTCGCTCTGCTTCTTCCACATCACCCTGGGCTTCTTCTTCCTCACCAACCCAAATACCGTGGCCGACCAGCCGATGGTCCAGCTGCTCGGCGAGTCCATGGGTCTGGTATGTCTAATTCCCATCCCTATGTCTCTCGCCCGAGGACTATTCCCCTCGGCAAATAACTCCAGCAGCTAACCAACCAACCACCGCAGCCCGACTCGCGCTCCTTCGAAACACCCTCGCCCGCTCTCGGCTTCCTCGCCGTCATCCTCGCCTTCCTCGGGCATAAACCGACCTCGTAACACTTTCCCTCCCCGACGAGATCTGCCTGGTCCACTACTGGGGAACGCAAGGTCCGCCCTCCTCTCCCTCCCTCCCCTTCCCCCTTATATATACACACCAACCCACACTAACTGCCCCAACAGCCCCCCTTCGCCTAACCCTAACCTTCCTCCTCTCCACCTACTCCTTCTTCTTCTCGCCCTCCTCCCCGCTCTTCTACAGCAGCCCCGCCCCAGGCTCCCCCAACTCCTCCACCTCCCCCGGCACGGGCTCCTCCAGCTCCTCCAACCGCTTCCAGCACCCCTCGCTCCACCGCGCGGCCAACAACCCGGGATACACGCCCTCGAGCTGGGGCGGCGACGTGCTCAAGAACCGTGTGTTTTTCACGTTTATGTTTGTTGAGACCATGAGCTGGTTCTGGGTGTGGGTTACGCTGCAGGAGGAGCGGCGCGAGCTGCTGACGAAGAAGGCGAGGCGGAGGAGCAGTTCTGGGGCGGGGGCTGGGTACCAATATTAGGGGGCTGTGAGTTGCTGAGGGGTTGTTTTGGGAGGGTGGTCTTTTTACGGATCCTTTCAATGGGGTCCTTCTTCACGGAGGATTCTCTTGGATCTCGTGCTCAGCGGTTCTGGCGGGAACTCTGGTATTCGGCCGACAGTTAATTTTTTTTTTTCGTCTTCTTGGGATATTTTAAGGTCGGACGGACAGGAAGGGATGATACCAGCATAGCGGGCATGTGCAGGGGGCATGGACGGGCAGATTCAAGCAGCCAGCAAGCATTGCGTATTGTTTGTATTGCATTTATTTCCCTGCTTTTCCAGGCCAGATATCTACCTATATTTTTCTGTTCACCCCGTTGCCCCTCATATCACCGTAGACCAGCATTCTCTCGTCACCACTAGATGTTCTGGCATTGTTTTATCATGGACACAACCACCCACCAGCCACTCCACCCTCATCCCACGAACCAATACCCGCCCTAATATCCCAACTCACTACCTCACAATATCGTATCCCAACCACTACCCGACACAAAAACAAAGTAATTTACTCCATCTTCACCATCCCCCACCCCTTAACCCCCTCCCTCCAACTCTCCACCACCTTCCCAACCCACTCCTCCGCCCCCG